TCAGAAAGTATATTGCCCACACACTCTGAATATTATTCAAAGAAATATTCTAATCGGGGTCCCCCTGGTGGCCAGAGGCTAAGTCTCAGTGTTATCACTGCTGGGGCCTGAGTGCGATCCCTGGCCAGGGAACTAACCACACATGGCGCAGCAGACGTCTCCTGTCTCGCCCACTCGCTGCTCCCCTCAGCAGTGTGTTTCAGTAGATCCGCCTGTTCTGCTCCCCATTCTGTCTCCAGTGAATTGTCTCACCCCTTGCACCTCTGGCCTACTCCCCATTTCTCCCATAAATAAATAAACAAACAAACAAACAAACAAATAAATAAATCTTAAAAAATAAAAGAAATATTCTAACCAAACAGCACACACACACAAGTAAATAACTGTGAAGTTTAATACAGGTATTTATTAAGCAAAAATCTGATAAGATTCCAGATTATTTTTAAATTGTGACAGGTATGCGTGTGTAAAATAGAAGGCAGTAAAATGACTTGCTAAAAGTCTTTTTCAATATGGGTGATAGGAGTGGGGAGGTCACATTTGTTGTTATTATTGCTATTAATAAGGTACATAGAATGGAACTTCTATGTTAAATATGGCTGCTAACGGTAGAGAGAATTAGGATGATCCCCTTCAAAATATTTAAGAAACTAAAAGGACCAATGAAAAATCAGGTAAAGACAAGGAAACAATAAGAAAACTTTAAAACAAAGCAACAAATAAGCCACCTAATTATTCTGACATTTAAATATAGATTTTATTTTTTTATTTTTTTAAAAAAAAGATTTATTTATTTATTTATACAAGCACTGGGTACAGTCTGAAGAGCGGGAGGGTGAGAGAATTCACCAGAGCCAGAGCGTGGAACAGAACAGGCAGACTGACGAAGCACACTGCTGAGGGGAGCAGTGGGCGCGCAGGAGAGGTCTGGCGCCATGTGGGACCCTCACTGGCAGCCGGGGATCGAACCGGTGCTGCAGAGGCTGCGGGCAGCTTTGCAGCCCAGCGCTCTACCACTGCGCCACCAGTGGCGGCCCTAAATATAGATTTTAATTGAGAGAAAATCAATATCTTGATGATATCTGAAGAATAATGAGTATTCCGGGGCCACCCTGGTAGCATAAGGGGTTAAGACGCAGCACTATGAAGCTATCAGCACCCACTGTAGCACGAGTGCCATCCCTAGCCAGGGAGATACCCACATGGTGCAGTAGACCTCTCCTGAATCGCCCGCTGCTCCCCTCAGCCATGTATTTCAGTCAACCCACCTGTTCTGTTCCTCACTCTGTGTCTGGTGAATCCTCTCACCCTCCACACCTCTGGCCTGTACCCCAGTTCTTGTATGCATAAATAAATAAACCTTTAAAAAAATGAGTTCCCATCTAAGATGACATATCTCTCCATTTATTTAGATCTCCAATGTCCTTCAAGAAACTTTCAGAAATATTTCCATAAAATTCTTGCAATCTTTTTCTTCAATTTATATAGTTTTAAGTGCTATCTTTAAAAAAATCATGTGCAAGATCTTTGCTATAGGTTTATAGCCATACAACAATTTCTTGTGACTTTTCTTCCATCACATATCATTAAAAACAGTAGTCCCAGTAGTTTGTTTTCATGAATGATCTCGTTTCTTCCTTTCCCATCTTAATATTAGGTTTTAATTTTTATATTTTACTTTAATTGCCAGTCTTCCAGAAAATGGTTGGCTAAAAGCAGTATCATCAGGCATTCTTACCCAACCCGGACATTAAGTATTTACTTTTGTTTCATCTTTAAGAATAGTGATTGCTATGGGTTGGACTTTATTTCATTTTTTGATAGACACTCTATAAGTTAGGGATGTTCCCTTCTAGACCTAATCTTCTTTCTCTCTCTCTCTTTTTTAAAAAGATTTATTTATTTTTGTATACAAGAACTGGGGTACAGGCCAGAGGTGTGGAGGGTGAGAGAATTCACCAGAGACAGAGTGGGGAGCAGAACAGGCAGACTGACTGAAATACACTGCCGAGGGAGAAGCAGGCAAGACAGGAGAACTCTGCTGCACCATATGGGTGACCTCCCTAGCTGGGGATCGAACTCGTGCTGCAGTGGCTGCGGATAACTTCATAGGTTGCGTCTTAACCCCTTGCGCCACCAGGGAGGCCCATCTCTTTTTTTAATTGTAAATGGGGTTATGTTTTATTTTAACAATTGATTTCTTTTTTTTTGGTATTTACTGAGATGATCATGCTTCTCCCTCAATTTGTTAATATAATGAACTGTATTAATATATTCTCTAACATTACTTTCTTGGTAAAAATAATTTGCTTATGATATATTTTAATGCATTATTGGATTCAATTTGCTATTACTTTATTTTGAGTATTTTGTGTAATTTCTTAAGTGATATTGGCCTATGCTTTTTCTTCCTTCTATTTACTTGTTTGTTATTGGTCTCAAAGTTCCTCATAAATGATTAGGGAACATATCCTCCTTTTTATTCTCTTTCAGTTTTACAAAATTGAGTTTGACTACCCCTTGAATGCTGTCACCTGACAGATCAGGAGAGCGTAATGGTAATTTTTGGGTTATTTGTTGATTCTTTGGGTGCATTTATTTTATTTATTTTTTTTCAGTAACTTATAAACTAATAATATTTTATTTTTTATTTTTTTTACATCATTGTTCATTTTTAAACAATATTTGCTTCCCCCTACCCCCTCCGGTGTAGTCCCCATAGAGTTTCCTTCACCAATTGGGTGCATTTATTTTATTTTTTTTTAAGATTTATTTATTTATTATACAAGCACTGGGTACAGTCAGAAGAGTGGGAGGGTGAGAGAATTCACCAGAGCCAGAGTGGGGAACAGAACAGACAGACTGGCGAAATACACTGCTGAGGGGAGCAGTGGGCGGCAGGAGAGGTCTGCGCGCCATGTGGGACCCTCGCCCGGCAGCCGGGGATCGAACTGGCGCTGCAGAGGCTGCAGGCAGCTTCACTGCCCAACGCTCAACCGCTGCGCCAACAGGGGAGGCCCCTTGGGTGCATTTATTTTAAACTGATAAGAACAGATACTACGCTCAATCTTAGCCAAAAGGCCAAGAAGCGATTGAGTGAATTTATTTTAAACAACTGATTTAATTTATTTCTACTGACAAATCTATTCAAATTATGTATTTCATCTTACTGAGCAACCTCTATCTATATATGTGTACATATATATTTCTCAAAATGAAAAATGACAGAAGTAAATTATTACCATTGAAATAAAAAGTATACAAGACCATACAGACAGTTTTTAAAAACATCAAAAGGGGAAGCAGAAGGGAAAACTTATTTACAGGAGGGTGCCAACTAATAAACAAAAATAAACTAATACACACACACACACTCACACCTATGTGTGTGTGTGTATATACATATATGAAACCTTGAGATTTGGTAACTATCCTGTTCCAAACATATTTTTTCAAACAGTGATTTTAACATCTGCTGGTCATTTTTGTCTGTTTCCAGTTTTAAGCTAATATGAGAAAAGCTACTGTAAATATTTGCGTACAGATCTTTGTGTGGACATATGTAATCATTTCTCTCAGGTAAATCTCTAAAAGTAAGATTGCTGGCTCATATAGCAAGCATATGTTTAACTTTGTAAGAGACTACAACACCATTCCACACTTACACTGCAATACCATTCCTGATCCTAGGACATACACTGCATTTAGTTATTATCTCTTTGGCCTCCTAGGTTTTTGTTTGTTTGTTTGTTTTTGTTTTTCTTTTCTAAAGATTTATATTTATTTATTTATGCATACAAGAACTGGGCCATAGGTCATAGGCCAGAGGCGCAGCGAGTGAGAGGATTCACCAGAGACAGAGTGGAGAATAAAACAGGAAGACCTACTGAGATACACTGATGAGGGGAGCAGCAGATGGGGCAAGACAGGAGAGGTCTGCTGTGCCATAGGTGGGTTAGCAACCTGGCCAGGATGGAACTCAGGCTGCAGTGGCTGGCAATAGCTTAATAATGTTGAAAATTTAACCCCTGCACCACCAGGAAGGCCTAGCCTCCTAGGTTTGATCCGAGAGTAAGGATCTCTCTAATTACATATCCTCTCTAAAGGATTTGTGCAACCATGTTCAAAGCAGCACTAGTTATTGTGAACTCCAAACCAGATACAACCCAAATGTTTGCCCACAGTAGGATGGATAAAGAAATGTTGATATTATTTAGTTACAGCAATGGAATATTATATAGCAATGAAAAAGGAACAACCAAATACTATATATAATATTATGGCTGAATCTCACAAACAATTTTGAGTGAAAGAAATCAGACCAAAAACAAACAAACAAACAAACAAAGGGACATAGTGATGATTCCATTGATCTAAAGTTCAATACCAGGCAAAAGTAGAACATAGCAAAGGAAGTCAGAAAAGTGGTTCTCTGGGGGGGTAGTAACTGAGAGGGGTACATAAGAATGGCTGCTAATGCCCTCAATCTTTATGTAAGTGACGTCTACGTGGACTACTCACTTTGTGAACTTATCAAGTTACACATTTATGATAAATTCAACTTTCTGTGCATTTATTTTACTCTAACGTTTAAAAAATTGAGAGTAAATTTAATCTTGATTCCAAAATGGAACAAAAAGAATATGAACTCCTTTAGGAGTTCATTTTAAACTTCAGTTTTTAGAAGATACCCTTACTTTCTGACTTCCTAAACTTTGGGGGGAAACATCCCTGTAACCAGCAAGTCCTAATGACAATACTCGATGGAAAGTGTGCAGAACTAATGTTATTTTGAACCTCTGTGTTAGATGTACACTGGCACACTATTTATGAAAAGAAGTTGGACAACACACATCAAGAGAATTAAAAAAGAAATATATGCTATTCTACCCAGTAATTTTCCTCCAGGAATTTATCTTAAATCAATATCCCAAATATATAAATCAATATCCCAAATATATAAGAACAAAAAAAGAAAATCTCTTAAAAGCAATACTTACAATTGGCGTCCCAAAAGGAATGTAACCTATGGGAGGGGAAAAAACAATCAGGTCTTGTACTTTCACCCCACTCTCCGCCCACCCACCTCTTGACTTAAATACCAGAGGATACTTCAGGGCTTGGTTTTGTCGATGACCCAGATAAAGGTGCTCAGGTCAGACAGAAGCCACCTCCAGCCCTCACGCCTTTTCCCAGCTCAGCCAACCCCAGGGTATTGGGTTCCCCTGTGTCTCCCAACCTCCCTCACTCTGTTGCCCTTTGACCAGACAGTTCTCACACCTGAAAGGGCCTGAAGGCAGGGCTGCCCACTTCCAGGGCCACATCCCTCTATGGGATCCTCCAATAATTTCCCCTGCGAGGCAGCAGCCACTGCCTACATACACTACACAACTCTGCATGTCTCTGAAGGCCTGGAATGTCCTCCTTCCCTCAGCTGCGTCTTTCTAGCATATCCCCTTACTTTCCTGACACCATGACCATTTCTGGAAAGAAAACTCCCTACCCACCTGAGATGTGTCCCTTTTAGTAGCAGAGCTCTTTGAATCTCTACTGCCCTGACTAGACATCCTTAGCACAGCAGGAGACCTAGTGTGAAGCTCAGCTAGAGCCAAGGTGCCGTATCCTCTGCTCACAACCCTTATACTGCATAACGCTTTGCTGTTGTCCCTACTGCTGTCAGTGGGCATTCTCCTGCCCTGAACTCTAACTTATGGCAGTCAGTCAGCTGGTGGCCTGACAGCAGAGAACCGCAATTATCAGAGCTGCAGTTGAAGCAAAGATTCATGTCCTGAATGTGGGTACCTGTGCATCACGCACCCACTGCATCCCTCTGGGGTGAGGTCCAAAGTCTGATCAGGTGGAGAGTGTTAAGAGAAGCCAGGCTTAGAGTGACAGCTAGCTTTGGCCTTACAGGACCTGGGAGCCTCCATAGCCTACAAGAGGCATAGAGCCTTGGCTCTTCCTCTCAGCAAAGCCAAAGGGTCTGGGTGCTAATTGCCCCAGTTTGCACCATGATGTCACATGGTTGTTTATTCTCTGGCTTCCATGAAATGTGGCTCTTTGGGTGTGGGGACCCTGACTAACCCACTAGACTGAGAACACCACTGGTAGAAACACTTCCTGCATCCACCTAAGGCCTTCCCAGGGCAGAAGCCTGCAGGCCTCCCACCTCACCCTGTAACTCAGGAGGGGAGTGTCCTCAGAACTGTAGGTAGGAATGTGCATTCCAGTGGCCTCTAAGCTGTTAAGCCCAGACATAGAGAGGTGCCTTCTAGTGACTGGGCAGGGACTACTGGGGGCCAGGATCTTATATTCCCCCTCTGCCCATTGGTCTCCAGAGAATGAGAATCGTGTCTTCCTGTGCGTGCAGCAGTGCAAACAAAGTGTGTATATTCTGAAGGGCAGGATCAGATAACAAGGAGTGAGTTGGGGATTAACTGGTTAAGAGGGGGAGCAGGGAGCAGGACTTGGAAGGAGAGAATGCAGAACACTCAGGTCAGGGCAGAGCCAGGGCTTGCTTGTAGCAGGAGTTGCACCGAGGTTGCTGAGAGGTATATAACCCAGGGACAGGCACCGATTCGCCTGTAGAGACCTCTACAGCATCCACCACTGCTCAGGCAGAGAGGCAGTGACACATTTTTAAAGCTCCATGATTCCAAGTCATGACCAGAGTCTTTCATAGTGGCGCCAAGGTGAACATGTGGGTGCAGATGTGGTCATGTGTGTAATGGGCTCCTTCCCTCTAGGGACAACTCTCTAAAGCCATGACGACACTAAGAGGCTTTGGTTGGCACATCTGAATGGGCCCCAGGGGCTTACCTGACATTCTGAAGGGCATGAAGATCTTCTCATTGGTGTCTGGGTGTAGAATAGCCTGGCAAAAGCCAGAATAAAGCACAGGGTGACAGTGGGGTAGGAGAGGAGGCGGGGAAGGGGAGGGAGGGAAGCAGGAAAGGAGAGCTCCCCAGCCCATTCCCAGGGAGTCTGAGCCTAACTTTGCCTCTGGCTAGTCAGTTCTCTGCCATCATTCAAGGCCAGAGAAAACAAAAACAGTGGTGGGTGACAAATGGCACTTCTCCTCCTGACTAATCCTCACAGCTGAAGGCAGCGGAGAGCCGGACTATCTACCCTGCAGGCCCTCTGTCTCCTGTGCCTGGTAGAGCAGGCAGGTCATCAGGACTCAGGGGAAGGCCACAGGGAAGGAGCTCAGCAGGTGAGGGAAAGGCCATTGGCCTGGGCTCCCATCTTCAGCAACACAGGCCATGGGTGCTGAGAGAAGGGGGAGGCGGCCAGGGGCAAGCAGGAAGGGAGAGGCTGGGCATGCACAGCCATGACAGGAGGGCCTTCTGCGGGACCCCTGGGGCTGGAAGGGACAGGGCCCAGAAGAGCACAGAGAAGGGACAGAAGAAAATTAAAATGGGATTACCTGCTTGATTTTCTGTGCACTCCAGAGCTGGAAGGAAGAAAGAGAGAGAGAAAAAGAAAGAACAAAAATGAAAAACGCATTTCAATTTAACATCTATCTCAAAGAAGCAGTTTCTCACCAATGGGCATAGCGCCAGAGGGCACAAGAGTCAAGCTGTCATTGTCCCCTGCTCTGGCGGCTACCCTGGGGTACGGCATCAGGGGTTCCAGGACAGCAGAATTAGAGGATGTCATATAGATAATTTAAACCAGGGTCTCAACTTGGGCTGCACTTGAAGAATCTTCCAGCGCTTTTCTAAAGTCCCTAGTTGACTCGATGGCACAGCCATGGTAAGAACCCCCAATTTAAATGGAGCTACTGCAGTTGTTTCCCAGAAGCACTAGAGGCAGTACAGTGTGATTTTTTTTTGGAGCCAGACAGACTGCCTGGATTCCTGCTTTTGCCTCTTCCACCTTTAAGCCTCAGTTTCCACATCTGTAAAATGGGGACAATAACTGTGCCACTAACGTTGCTGAAGAGGGTACATGAAAAGTGCCCAGAGCAGTGCTGGGCACATAGTAAGTGCTTTATGAGGGCTCACAGTCTTAGATATTCTTAGTCCTATTGTTATTGGAAGAAAGTTGTAGGGAGGAGAAAGATGCTTTCAAATGAGTGATTTGGGTCTCTTTCCAGCACAGCTTGTGGAGAGGCTGGAGAAACAGACAAACTTGTAGATTCCTTCAAATGATATAAATACTGCATTTCATTGAATCTAAGACATCACTGATCTTAAGACACACTATTATTCTCTACTAAGAAACAAAACCATGACATAATAAAGGCCACCATCAACTAAAATCACCCCATTTAAGAGCTGAAATAAAATAGGCCTTTTAGAATTGAGAAACATGGTAAATAAAACTTTACACTATGGACAAACCAAAGGCCAGTGTTTGTGATGGAGCAAGAAGGGTACAAAGCGAGAGGCAAAATGTACCCAGCAGTTGATGTTTCAAGTTTTATAGTAGAATAGTTCCGGTTATGATTCAGTTACTGACAATGTTGTCATCTGGACTGAATTACACTGCAGAAGGCACTGGGTAGCAGAAATAGTAGTTTTGAAATTGGTATATAAAGATTATGGATCTGCAGAGTCACTCAAACTTTTACTTGCTATACGTATATAATCATTAGAACTACACTTATTTTATATACATTTCAAAACATATTTAATTATCTGCCATTCAGACCCGGAATACTAGAAGCAATAGATTTTTTAAAAAATAGTAATTAGGGACCAGAGGGGACTGAAGAGAGAAAAACCAAACACAGAATAACAGTCAAAGAAGTTACACGAAACCTTAAGAGCAAAGAGATTTTATAAAATGATTAAAGGCCAATTCTCTGCTGCTCAGAAGTGCATTCCGAGTGCCCCCAAGTACTAAAAATGTACTAGGTTTAGCCCCAAGCCCTGCACACAGATCCTGATACCCCACATTGCCACCCAGTGTCAGAATCTTACATTTCTGTGTCCCCTCAATGTCTGGATTCAGAGGCAGAGGCTTGCCTTTCAGCACTGTCCCCTGGCATCTCCCTCACCACTGGGCACACAATAGATGCTCAATAATGGGTGAAGGAATATTATCATCCAAAATAGAGGAATAGCTAAGACTCAACTGACTTCTAGTTAAGCATGGTGGAACACACATGTATACAGCTCCCTTGCCTCACAGATTCTAAAGAAAGGAATAGAACAGAATCAACAAGTTGAAACCCCCCACAGGGGAGGTTGGGGACCTGATAGCAGGTGGGATATGAAGCACAGTTTCTAAGCATAAAGAGCTGATGGAGGAGAGAACAGCAACAAATCCCAGGGTGGGGGTGCTATGCCTGTCTGTAGTCATAATAACATTTTCCCAACAAGTTACTGCAGGATGTGCCTCAGCAAAACAAGGAAGAAATGAAGAAAAAAGAAGACACGAGTTCTAGGAAACAGGGTGACTGCCTGAAGCACAAGAGGAGGAAGAGATTTGACTAACATCATCCGGACGTCCCAGATTCTCCCCTTTGCAGTCCAGCAGCAGATGCTCCTGCCCAGGACTTCTTCCTTCCCTTATGCCAAAGTTCCTCTAAGTAGCACCACACTTGTAATCTATGGCCACATCAGTGTCCCTCAAGTCCAAGGACTGTCTCCTCCAGCTCCACCTAGGCAGCAATAATGGGAGAGTCAGCCTGTCTGATCAGAAAAGGCTGAAGCTCAGGGCCTCCCTGGTGGCACAGCAGGTTGAGCGTAGCACTGTGAAGCTGTCCGCAGCCTCCGCAGTGCTGGTTCGATTCCCAGACGGCCAGGGAGAATCCTACATGGCGAGGCAGACCTCTCCTGCCTCTCCTGCTGCTCCTCTCAGCATTGCTTTTGGTCCGGTCCGTCTGCCTGTTCTGCTCCCCGCTCTGTCTCGGGTGAATCTTCTCACCTTCCCACAACTCTGGTCTGTACCCCAGCTCTTGTATAAATAAAAATAAATCTTTAAAAAAAAAAAGAAAAGAAAAGGCTGAAGCTCAAAGGGGTGTCAGCAGGCAAGGCCAGGAACCCAGAGCTCACAGACATTCTCCCCACCTCCCAATGACAACACCACACACGTGGCCCTGGCAGGCTACAGCCACAGGTAAGAGCAATGGCACAGCCTCACATAGTAAAGCCATGCTTTTCTATTTTGCTGAGCAACTTCCCTCCCATAAACTATTTGATTTGGACACTCAGAAAACTGTTTCCATAGAATAGAGAGAAAACCAACGCTGGGAGCCACATCTAAGTTCTCAGAGATGGAGCCAGAACTACATACAGCTCATGATCTCTGACTCAAATTCATTCACCCCTTCATCCTCATCCATTCACTCACTCACTCACTCACCTTTAGTCAACAAGGGCTATGTGTTACACACTCTTCTAAGGGCTTTGGCATATTAAACTATTCAATTTCAACAACCCTATGAGGCAGGGACCAATAGAGCACCCATTTTACAGATATGGAGACTGAGGAGGTTAAGTGAGATGCCCAAAGTCCCAGAATAGCAGCAGTATTTGAACTGCACTGGGGTTTCAGCTCCAGGGTCTTAACTACCACAAGCTCCCATCTCTAAGTGCTCGCAGGCCTCTGCACACTGTTCTGCCATTGCAGGAATGTAATATGTTTGGAGATCTTCCCATGTCAGTGCACAGAGAGCCTCACTCTTTCTAACAGAAATCTTGAACTAATATAGTATAAACTGGACCCCACTAGTGGACTTTCAGTCCATTTCCATCTTTTTTTTTATTGTGGTAAAATACACATAATATAAAAATGTTCCATTTTAACCATCTTTAAATGGCTCTTCAGTGGCAGTAAGTACATTGACCATCCATCCCCAGAACATTTTCATCTTCCCTAACTGAAACTCTGTTCCTATTAGACACCAATTCCCCACCTGTACTCCCCACTCCTAGCAACCACCACTCTACCTTCTGTCCCTGTCAATTTGACCACGCTAGATTCTTCACATAAACAGAATCATTTAATATTTTCCTTTAGAGACTGTCTGATCTTTGGCTATTACAACCACGTGCCAGTGGATTTCCCAGTGGATACAATATCATTATTGTATCATTAGCATTGAAAGAAAAAGGAGAAATGTATGCAGCTTTCTCTGACAGGATGTAGAAGAAATGAATGGCTGTTTAAGAGAGAGGAAGTGGGCAATTGAGGGCCTGGAAAGGGAGAATCGCTTTTTATTCTGTACCTTTTTATATATCTTTAGAATTGTATAGACTGTTTATATGTTACCTATTCAAAAATAATTGTTAGAAGAATCAAGAGTAACTTCTAGAAAAATAGAAACAGGGTGCACAACTTCTAAGCTCTTTATTGAGACCTATGGCCCAGACACAAACTGTTAACCATCCAAAAAACCCATTCCCCTTTCTTCCAGAGTAATGGAAAGGTGGGTGACTGACCTCCACATTGCATTCCCCAAACTCCTTGACAGCTAAACTTGTCTATGTGGCTTAGTCCCCCAGTGGCATCTGGGGGGAAGTAAGATGTCCCTTTCCCTGACCAATGCTCCTCCTCCCATTTGCCAGAGCAAGGATGTGGCTGCAGCCCAACCTGGGCCAGGCAGAGGATGATGTCCAAGGAGATGGTGGAGAAACATGATGGAAGGAGCCTGGGTTCCTGAGTGGCCCTGTGGAGCAGAGGCACCTGCCCACCAAGAACTTGGACTGTTTCATGGGAAAGAAATAAACTGTCTTATTTGAGGTGATGTATTTTGGGATTTTTTTTTCATGAGAGCAACAAGTATAACCCCAGAATAATCCATGCCTTAAAAAATATCAGGGAAGCCTTTTTAGAGAAGAGAAGGAGGACTGAAAGCTAAGATAGCGTATGAGGTTCATCTTCTGGCATCTGGTAATGTTCCAGCCTCAAGAGAATTTGGGGTGAGGTAGGAGGAGTATCTCTATTTTAAACTAAAATTCCCAGTAATGACCTGATCTACTTTGGGTTCACCCTATCTCCGGGCTGCAGAACAACAGTCAGGGTCACAGATTTGAGCACAAGCTTCACTGCTACTTTGCATGGTCTTCCTGTGCAAGTTACCTCATCCTTTAGACTCACACTGTTTTTAGAATTAATCAGGCAGAAGAGGGGCAGGAGGTGGAAGCTAGCCTTACCAGGGCCCCTTTCTGTCTGGTAGTGCCAGACCCAGCTTGTAGGAAGAGCAGGGCAAGGGCCTGGGTCACACTCCTTGGGTCTGGGCCTTTTTTCTGTGATCTGTGAGACCTATGAGTTGCATGCAGGGTGCAGAAATGGCAGCCGGTACTGCCCACAAGCTAAGAACTGTTTACAAGTTTAAAGTTTCATGAGCCAGTTGTACAAAGATCATCCTAGGATGGAAGGCATTTGAGGAAGGGCCAAAAGAGATGCAGTGAACAGTCCTTCCACATTGACTGGGACTGGGAGCCTCCAACACCTCATCACCCCTCAGAAACAGCTCCATTTTAGACTATTAGAATCCTG